TTTTTTTAGTAAAGTGTCTCATCCTACAAATACATGTTTACAATTGCATAGTATGGTATGGTCTTAGTAGATTAAAAATTATTTCTTTCTTTACCTTTTCATCGGGCTCAGACTCAGCTGAACTGGAGCCTTCTCTACTTCCGTTTTGATTCTCATTTGCACGGACATTTGCTAATTTTTTAGCTTGTCGGTCTATAACACTGCTCTTCTTTCTTTTATTTTTCCAAAGATAGTAATATTTTACTAATGATGCTATTGGTTTATCAGGCATCTAAAAAAACAATTAAGTAAAATGTGAGAAACTTAAGTATTACATTTTAATCATAATTCAATTACCATTTGTTTAATGCGTAAAAAATTCTTTCCAATGCTATTAAAGGCTGATTCAAAAGTAACTTTATCATCGGTCGTCCAGTCATCTGGTAGAGGTGCAAAATTTGATAGRTCACTAAGAGCCTTTTCCATGTCGTGGTGATGCCAGTATAGCATTCCCAATGCCTGTTCACTGTTGTAACCATATTTTTCTTTTGATAATAATATGTATTCATTTACTATATATATATAAAAAAAAAAATAATAATTAATGTTTTCTAAAAATTAAAATTAAAAAGATAAATATATGAGGATTAATACATTTAATTTCGGAAATATCATCGGTTGGAGACCAAACTAATAGTGCTTTTTTGTTCAGTCGTTCGCGTCTATTTTCTGCAAGTAATAAAACCATTAAATWGTAAATTCTTATAGATAAGACTCGTGACAAAACTTACTTGGAAGTACTAATAGCTTTGGAATGACAGCCTGATAATCACGTCCCACTCTGATTTTTTCAGCTAAAAAATAATAAAAATTAAAAATACACTTTCAAATAGAGTATTAAAAAAAAAAAATGTAAAACTATAAAACCATGATACAGAACTTAAATATGACATGGATCTTGACCTTTTAAGAAAAAACCTTGATAGGAAACAAAGTGCACATATTCAGAAATTGATGTGTACGTCAATAYTTATGTTATACTTGTATGTTAATAGTATAAATGCGTAGACACTTGTATGAGATCAACACATGTATTGAGTTTTACAGATCGTAGAAAATCTTAAAAAATTGTTAAACTAGTTCGAAATTTTTAATATGCTTTTCATCGATTCATTTAAAAATATTCACCTGGCTATTTAAATGTTTTCGGACATCTGTCAAAGGATGCTTACCRTTTTCTTGTATGAGATCGTCGATGTCCATTATTTCAGCATTTGCAGACGGTGCTGGACGTTTGCCGTTTTTCAAATCTTCCAAATTATCGTTAGCCATACTTCCTTTGAAAAATACTAATGCATGCTACAGCGAATAGGCGCAAAATCAGCAATTTGAACTGTGCAACATACAAAAAATTAAAAAACTTAACGTAACGGATAATTACGAGCAGCCAGTGTATTAAGTATTTGTTAAATTACTGGAAAATTGAATATTAAGTAAAAATATAAAATTTTGCTAGTGAACAAACGCATCGTCGTATTATAAAATATGGGATTTAGAAAATGACACGTTTTTCTCCTCCATGGGCGGTATTTGAATTCGTTTTATTTTTTTTTTCTCTTCTACGTATTGTCCACCTCAACATAATATTATAGATTYGGATTTCAGACTCACTTGTGCTTACCATTACCCGCGAAGCCGAAATCTTTATTGCCTTCCAATTTAGTAACTTAGRAATCGGATTTCTCGTCGTAGTCGTCCGACATCGAGATTGAAATAAAATTACTCGTTTCAAAATGACAAGATATTAAGAATTCAAAAAAAAAAAAGGAAAAACTTGGAATAAAAACGATAGTTCGTTGCCCATATAGACCATGGACAGTAAGTTGTATAATATATAGCATATACCTGCAGCTATGACGCCAACCCAAATATAATAACGCGAGAGATCAGCATTGCAGCGAAGGTGGAAACGCCCGGTAATGCGTCGTCTATCGTAGTGGCAACACTGACGAAAAACATGGCGTCTCTCTTGGAGGGTTATTAAACCTTGCTGGTTTTGAATAATGTACCTAATATTATTATTATTATTAT